TTTAAAAGACAAATTAAATTTCAATTTTGTAATATTTACCAAAAATTAATATTTTCAATTCATCCCCAAATCTTTTCCTATTTCTGTATCCAATGGACTGTCACTAGTGATCCGGACTGGTCCCCAAGACCAAGAGTCTTAAATCAAACAATTTTGATTCGGGCTGTTCACCAGAATAGACCACTTATGTAATTCACAGGCCATACAGTGCTTCCCTTTTTTGCATAAGGATCAAATAGACTCACTGACACAGATTGACCCTAAGTGTCTCAATCAGCAATTCTTCGTTTACGAAAAGAAACCCCTTGTATTTTGCCTAGGCAAATTTATATCAACATCATGTGTGATAAAAAAGATTTGTAGTAGTTTTTTCATTTAAAGTATTTAAATAAGAGCAGTGCTATGTAGCACTGTTTGTGTGACGGTGACGTAATTTGCTTACAATTGGTTAAAAAAATATTAATTACTAATTGTCGATTGTAGACTTTAGGGTCGCATAGATTGATTCTATATATAATTATTTTTCAAAAAATATTTCTTGTTCTCAATCATGAGTAGTCTCTATAGGGTTTAGAGTTCAAAACTACGAAAGTTAAAAATAATAAAGTAAATTGAAATCATAATCAAGTCAACCAAATACAAAGATCCATGATGAATACATACTTTCCCGAATAGTCCAATCAAATACGCTCTACATTCTAACTATCTCGTGCAACATAGGACATCACGTTTGGATGATCCTAAAATATTACATATAAGTAAACTTACTTGCAACTTTTTGAAAAATGAAATTAAAATATATCTTGAGTCTATGAGCTTGCTTCATTTGTTTTAGGGCTTCTTCGGAATGAAATAACCCAAATCTTTGATATTTGAGCAAGAACCATGAGGCAATTTAGCAAAAGTTTTTTGGTACAAAAGAGCATAAGAAAAATAAGCAAAATTATGGTTTAAGGTTTAATTATCAATAAAAGTTTTCTTCAAAATCAGTTGTCAATTATACATAGAATATATTTTAAAATTTTTAAAATTATATTATAAAATATATAGACTTAGAAGGTAATCTCATATCTAAATTTTAACAATCATTTTTAACGGATTTCAAAATCATAAAATCTGGATAGAGAAAATTACATTAATAATCAGATTCGATGATATAATTCTCATGTAATAAATGAAACATTAGCGTTAGAANCCCCCCCCCCCCCCCAAAAAAAAAAAAAAAAAAAAGCATTTGATTAACAAGTTCTAGATACCAGGCACACCTTGACTAAGGATAATCAAGTTAATTTCTTGAGTAAATCACTTATTGTCTCGATTTGTTTTAAGTTCATATTTTGATGAAAATAATATTTTAGTCGATTATGATAAAAGTTCACGAAATATAAGATCAAAAAATTGATAAAGCATTGAGTTAATATGTATATTATGAACTCTTCATGAAAGTCATTATGTCTTCGTCGAAAATATTATATTTCATTGTAAAAATTCCAAAGCAATTATTACTTTGCTGGTAATATTATATGTTTCTTCATCTAAACTCAAGATTCCAAAGCTATTGAACGCATGGTTCAACAGAAATCTAATAATGACCAAACTGAAAATTCAATTTCAACCCATGATTAAGTAATGAAAAAAAGACCAAAACACGAGCTTAATCTGGTAGATTAGATTGGGTTAAACATGAAAAGTGTAATTTATTTATTTATTTTTTTAATTTCTCAATTTCTTCCGTTAAAAAGATTGGTCCGATTCGACTCTTACGAGATTGACATGAATAAAGGGTTTAATAATCATGCGTATGAACATTTAAAACGTATAATTTTTTTTGCATGTATACAGTCGTTAATGTTAAGGGTTACAAAATCGAACTAGCAGTTAAAAAATTAAATAAATACATTCTCAATTTTAAAAAATGAATTGTAAAAGTCAATTCGACATGTATAGTCTGTTCTATGATTCTTGATGGATTTAAACTTCAAATTTTTTACACACCACACCATTGAATCGAGTTTCGAACTGAATCTCAATTTCTAAACTTAAAAAGATTGGTCCGATTCGGCTCTTATTAGATTGACATGAATAAAGGGTTTAATAATCATGCGTATGAACATTTAAAACGTAATATTAGAGAACCAATAACGTGAGGGATAAATTACAAAAATATCCTAATTACGAAACGAAACAACTGTTTTTCTTAAAAATGTTGGCAATTATCGAACAGTGCTAAAACTTGTTACAAATTCCCAAGTAAATCATATTCTTTTCCCTCAAAACCCGCATGAAAAGTTCTGAAAAGAGCTTCACCTCACTCACGTTTAAGTTTCGTTCAATCCTTAACCCCCACAACACAACAATTTGACCAAGGGCACTTTTGTCATTTCATCTCATGTCACTCTTTCATGCTACACTCTACTAAAAATCTAGGACGTGTTTGGCGGGTGAAGTATAAAATGGGAGGAAATTATTTTGTTTACAAACTAATATAATAGTCACTTGAAAATTTTTGAAAATTTCTAAAATTGTTGAACCATAATCTTGGTGTTATTTGGTAACCTTGATTTATTAGGACATGTTTATATTTATATGCGATTGTCTAGTATAATAGATAAATGTTAATTTTATTTATTTATTTATTTTTGTACACTAGTCGATCCAAGTATTCACTTAAAAAAGATAAATGATCAAGGGTATTAAAGTTGAATCAAGGTAGAATCGTTAATAAAAAAAGTTAGATATATAAATTTAAAAAAATAAAATAAAATTAGGAAGGTGATCTGGCCACTATGTAATTCTTTAAACGATTTAAATTTTTTTGGATGTTATCCTATAATCAGGCTGAATCTCGATTTTATAGTTGGCTCATGAGTCCATATACATTTTTTATTTTTTATTTTAAAGCAAAAATTTCGTAAATTTATGAAATAATTTTAAATATGATATAAAAACCTCTTAGACATAAGATAAGACAAACATTTTTATACAAAACATTAAATACGACATAAAAAACACACAAGACGTTTCGTGAAGCCCATGAGCCTAGGACTCTAAGCTCATTTCAGCTCACCAAGTGGAAAGTCGAGCTCGACTCGATCTAGCCCAAACTTGACCCGACCCTAAGAATGTTTAAAGGTGGGCCTAAGTAGTTCGCGGTCATTATTACGCCTGTGCTGGTTTTAGTAGCACTAATTAATGCTAATTATTCCTACGATTTTATGGTAAAAATGATAAATGCAATCTAATTTGGACTTTGCTCTTGATAAAGCAAGCATTTATGACGTGGAATTGATTATCGTTTGGGCCATTGTTATCTCTACCGATTTTTGGAGGAACTGATTAATGCAATTTAATTTTGACGTTGCTACAATCCTTATTTTTTTATCATTTTGGCATGATTAAATACTCTCATCTTGCTAGGTAAGAAGGAGAAAATGCCCCTCGGAGTATAACTTAGTGGTGCAAAGGATAGGAGTGAGGTACCTTCAGCCTTGCTGGCAGCCGCAATATGAGGGTTCGATTCCTGATATATGAAATTGAATTCTTTGTGGGCACTAGTGTACGGGCAATCTTTTGTTCTCTAACCCGTTAGACACATCCCGCGATTTACTTCCCTCACGATACTCCAGAGGCGGGTGGTGGGGACCCTTAATGTTAGGGTTCAACCTTTAGGTAAGGAGGAGATATTACTTGAAAATAACTTAAGCACTTCAAAATGTATATTATTAGTAGTGAATATTTCCTTCATCATCCTATGCCAAACACACCTTTACAAACACGTTATTTAAATTTGTTTGGTAGAAATTAAAATTAAATTTTAATAAAAGTTAATTAAATATGTAATTTGAAAAGTTGTGAAATTCATAAATTATGTGATTAAAGTGAATTGTTGACTTTGAAATTTAGGCAAAGTATGATAATGTAGGATGCAAAACGGGTGAGGTTAGTGGGTCCCTATATAATATATGATAAATAGAGGTTAGTAATATTATTGATAAAGCTTTTAGACAGAGAACGAAAGAAAGAAAGAAAACAGTGAGTGAAAAATAAGAGCTGTTTGATACAATGAAAATTCCCGTTTGACCAAGGGCACTTTTGTCATTTCATCTCATGTCGCTCTTTCCACGCTACACTCTACCAAAAATCTAGGACGTGTTTGGCGGGTGAAGTATAGAATGGGGGGAAATTATTTTGTTTACAAACTAATATAGTAGTCACTTGAAGATTTTTGAAAATTTCTAAAATTGTTGAACCATAATCTTGGTGTTATTTGGTAACTTTGATTTATTAGGACATGTTTATATTTATACGCGATTGTATAGTATAATAGATAAATGTTAATTTTATTTATTTATTTATCTTTGTACACTAGTCGATTCAAGTATTCACTTAAAAAAGATAAATGATCAAGGGTATTAAAGTTGAATCAAGGTAGAATCGTTAGTAAAAAAAGTTAGATATATAAATTTAAAATAAAAATAAAAATTAGAAAGGTGATCTGGCCATTATGTAATTATTTAAACGATTTAAATTTTGGAAAAATTACATGGTATCAGATACTTAAAGACCACAATTCAAAAGCCAGGGACCAAGTTTCATTGTACAAAAATCAGGTTTTGACATATAATATAAACCCTAATTTTATTTCCACCCACTTTTATTTCATTCTCACACTCGCACTCTCACTCTTCCTTTCCATCTTCATCCTCTGTCAGATGATGCCGTCGCCGCCGTTGGAGCATCCGTCGCCGGAGATCAACCTCATTTCACTTCGCCGTTGTCAGCACGTTGTGAAGAGATCGGAGTCTGCGACGAAGGCTTCGATCTGAAATTCCTCCGATTAGTGTTGTTTCTCCAACGATTTGGTGTGGCCGATGGTTTACGAGGTAGATGTGCTATGAACAATTCTCCGACGATTTGCTGCGAACATCACTGCTTGCGGCTCTGCTTGATTTTTTCCATGGTTTTGATTGTTGATGGATTTGACGGGTGGTGGTGTGTGCGCCTGTGCGGTGGTGTTGCTGATGGTATTGTTAGGTAATGAGTGGTTGAATTTTTTTCGATTTGTGTTCTACCAGTTCGTGTGCAGTGGCTTTGGTGGTGGTGGTGGCCCTGACATTAGCTGTGTACGATGGTGGTGGTGGTTGTTGGCAGTGGTGATTTTGGGTGGAAACGGTGGTGAGATTGTGCATAGGTATTGTTATTGTATTTGGTGGTGGCGGTTATTGTGGTTTTTGACGGCGGTGGAGGTGGTGGTTGATGGTTGGAGAGCTGGTAAAGTTGATTGCCCAGGTTCTTGTTAGCAATTGATTGGATTTGGTGGTGAAAATTTTGGCAGTAGCCTGGTAGTGGCGATGGTGATCATAGTGATGGAGTGAGAGTGGTGGTGACAGTAGAGGTGGTGGTGGTATGTGACCCACTGTTTGACTTGTGACCAATGTGACCTTAAAATTTGATAATTGTGACGAACAAATTCGAAAATACGTGACTAATAGATAATTTGTGACCTATAATTTTTTAATCTGCGACCAATGATGAAAACTATGACCTATAAAATTTTTGATTTACAATTTCGAAATAATCTGTGACCAACAAAATTTTTGATTTGTGACCACGAGGAAATCTGTGACCAATAAAATTTTGATTTGTGACCAAGAAAAAATTTGTGACCTATAATTAGAGATTTGTGACCATAATTGTGTAACCGTGACTTTTATTATATTTAAATTTAAATATTTTTAATTAATTACATAAAAACGTGATTTTTGCATAATTAAACGTAACTTCTTTAATTTTGAAGTGTGCACACTTAAAACATGGTTTGTGAATTATTCCCTCAAAATTTTTTGGATGATATCCTATAATCAGGCTGAATCTCGATTTTATAGTTGGCTCATGAGTCCATATACTTTTTTTTTTAAAGCAAAAAATTCATAAATTTATGAAATAATTTTAAATATGATATAAAAACCTCTTAGACATAAGATAAGACAAACATTTTTATACAAAACATTAAATACGACATAAAAAAACACACAAGACGTTCCTGAAGCCTAAGAGCCCAGGGCTCTAAGCTCATTTCAGCTTGCCAAGTTGAAAGTCGAGCTCGACTCGATCTAGCCCAATCTTGACCCAACGCTAAGAACGTTTAAAGGTGGGCCTAAGTAGTTCGCGGTCATTATTACGCCTACGCTGGTTTTGATAGCACTAATTAATGCTAATTATTCCTATGATTTTATGGTAAAAATGATAAATGCAATCTAATTTGGACTTTGTTATTGATAAAGCAAGTATTTATGACGTGGAATTGATTATTGTTTAGACCATTGTTATCTCCACCGATTTCTGGAGGAACTGATTAATGCAATTTAATTTTGACGTTACTACAACTCTTAATTTTTTTTTTTAATCATTTTGGCATGATTAAATACTCTCATCTTGCTAGGTAAGGAGGAGAAAATGCCCCCCTCCCGAGGTATAATTTAGTGGTGCAAATGACAGGAATGAAGTACTCACAACCTTACTAGCAACCGCAGTGTAAGGGTTTGATTCCTAAGATATGAAATTAGATTCTTTGTGGGCACCAGTGTACGGGTAAACTCTTATTCCCTGACTAGTTGAGACACATCTTTCGATTTACCTCCCTCACAATATTCCAGAAGCGGGACGGTGGGAACCCTTAAGGTTGGGATTCAACCTAAGGAGAAATTACTTGAAAATAACTTAAGCACTTCAAAATGTATATTGCTAGTAGTGAATATTTCCTTCATCATCCTATGCCAAACACACCTTTACAAACACGTTATTTAAGTCTATTTGGTAAAAATTAAAATTAGATTTTAATAAAAGTTAATTAAATATGTAATTAAAAAGTTGTGAAATTCATAAATTTTGTGATTAAAGTGAGTTGTTACTTTGAAATTTAGGCAAAGTATGATAATGTAGAATGCAAAACGGGTGAGGTTAGTGGGTCCCTATATAATATATGATAAATAGAGGTTAGTAATATTATTGATAAAGCTTTTAGACAGAGAACGAAAGAAAGAAAGAAAACAGTGAGTGAAAAATAAGAGCGGTTTGATACAGTGAAAATTCCCGTTTTTTTCCCCAATCTTATATATAATACGTGTATATATAGAGAGAGAACGCATGAATCGTCATTTGTACTAATCGAGATGTTGTGTATGTGTACAAACTCAGAAATGGTTGAATCTGACTCCAATATTTTTCAAGAAGCTGC